TACTATAATTCTCTGTGGTAAACTGTGGTGCAGTGTGGTGAACTGTGGTGCAGTGCTGACTGGTGCAGTGTGGTGAACTGTGGTGCAGTGCTGACTGGTGCAATGTGGTGAACTGTGGTACAGTGTTGTGAACTGTGGTACAGTGTGGTGAACTGTGGTATAGTGTGGTGAACTGTGGTACAGTGCTGACTGTGGTATAGTGTGGTGAACTGTGGTATAGTGCTGACTGGTGCAATGTGGTGAACTGTGGTATAGTGTGGTGAACTGTGGTATAGTGCTGACTGTGGTATAGTGTGGTGAGCTGTGGTACAGTGTGGTGAACTGTGGTACAGTGTGGTGAACTGTGGTGCAGTGCTGACAGTGGTGCAGTGTGGTGAACTGTGGTACAGTGTGGTGAACTGTGGTGCAGTGCTGACAGTGGTGCAGTGTGGTGAGCTGTGGTACAGTGTGGTGAACTGTGGTGCAGTGCTGACTGTGGTGCAGTGCTGACTGTGGTGCAGTGTGGTGAACTGTGGTGCAGTGCTGACTGTGCTACAGTGCTGACAGTGGTGCAGTGTGGTGAACTGTGGTACAGTGTGGTGAACTGTGGTGCAGTGTGGTGAACCGTCACCACAGCTCTTGGTGTTGATACTGCAGCTGGTGATCCAGCCACACTCCCCGCAGGCTGAACAGCAACAGGTCCTGTCAGTTTGCGGCTCTCCCCTGTTGCAGTAATAACACACAGTGTGATAATTACCGCACACGCCTGGTGACTGTCACTGCCTGTCCCTCCCTCTAACTCTCTCTGACTCCCAACATTCACACTCAAAGAGCTTTATTGGCATGGACAGTGAATTATAGTGTTGACAAAGCATATACAATTAACACAATTTAGAGACATTTACAGTACTAACATGTTATTGGACATTTATATACAACACATAACCATTATTGAGAGACAGGCTCACTGCTCCTCAGGCTGGGACAGGAGATCACACTCTGGGCTGCAGCTCTATTGAGTTTCCTCTCCCAGTATGACTGGAAATCGTTCTGATTCTGGCAGGAGTGGGAATTCTGGGATTAGGTTGGTTATTTTGGGGAAGACTGTTTGTCTAATCCCAGAGTATTTCTCCCAGTGCAGTAGAAAGTGCATCTCTGTCTCTACATCTCCCTGCTGGCAGTGGGAGCAGAGCTTGTCCTCTCT